TTTTTTTTTTTTTTAATTCAATGCCTATGTTCCAGATATTTTAAGTCGATACGATAAACTTTTTTTGCTACCTTAAAGATATTTGGGATTATTTTTTTTCATGCTTTTCATATTATCAACGAGAATATGGTGGGCCTGTTTATAGTTATTACTGAACCCAATGTAAAAAAATTTGATGATGCAGGGGACAATATGTCTGCAGTGTGGTGATAAAGGATTCTGGAATGCTTTTGTGTACTGTGTCAAATGCGTGAAACTTGCTGTACACCGGTAATAACTAATAACCAATGTTCTACATATGTTATATCGTGCGGCCATTTCACAGTCACGCTCTTTTGTCCTTTATTCTGTAGTTACGATCTCTTTTTGGGAAAACAAACTGCTGGAATCTCCTTAAAAAATTATAAGCTTGGATGTGCTGTTGAAGTCGTTAGCATGCTTAGACTAGTAAATTCGTTAGTATACATAAGAGAAATAAAATTCAGTGCATGCGAACCGAACTTGTGTTGGTAAATTTTGTTTGAGAATATTTCTATTTATTTTGAAAAGTATGTAGTAATGTTCTTTTTCTGATTTGGCTGATTGTTTTCTATATTAAATTGTTTCAGCTACTGTCTGGACGTAATACCTGAGACTTTCGATGAATTTGTTTATTGGGTTTGTGATGACTGTGAACTCGAAGCTCAACGCAAGTTCACTCCCGTTAATAACCGTGACGCAGGCCCCACCCCGACTAGAGACCATATGGTTGCAGAAGAGGAAAGCGTTAACTTGCTTTCTGACATTAATGAAGAAGAGGAAAATGATTTATCAGCAGTTAGGAAAGAGGAGCATGACCATAAACACGAGCCTGCTAAATCAAACAATGCTCTGGAGGAGAAAAGGGGTAATGACATTAATGAAGAAGAGGAAAATGGTTTATCAGCAGTTAGAGAAGAGGAGCATGACCATAAAGACGAGCCTGCTAAATCAAACAAAGACCTGGAGGAGAAAAGGGGTAATGACATTAATGAAGAAGAGGAAAATGGTTTATCAGCACTTAGAGAAGAGGAGCATGACCATAAAGACGAGCCTGCTAAATCAAACAATGCTCTGGAGGAGAAAAAGGGAAATGACAAAGTGAGAAGGCAAAAGCGGAGGTTACGAAAGGAAGCCTCGGAAAGTACTATAAAGTCAACGAGAAGGTCAAGACGGAAGATCAAGTTCACTAAGGAAAACAACAAGAGTATCCCTGCTAAAAAGGCATCATCACACAAGAAAGAGAAGAATAAAGAACGGATAAAAGCATTTGTAGGATCAGAAAAAGACAAGAAAACCCTTGGTAATAATGCATCATCATGCAAGAAAGAGAAAAATGAACGCGCGAAAGCGAACGGCAATAAGGGCCCCGAGCAGGGAGAGAGAAATCACGTCTTCGTGAGAAGCTCAAGGGAGAAGAAAAGAAAGAGGGATAGTAAATGGCCTTCTAAAAAAGAGGAAGACGAAAAGGGCTCCACTGAGAAAATAGTCAAAAAAAGACGCATTTCCTCGGGAAAGTCAAAGACGAAAAAGCCAAAAGCTACCATCCCGTCTGAGAAGATTCACGACAAGGAAAAGCAAGAAACTTGCTCCGAAAAACCTCTCGTGGCGAACATACAACTGCCTAAAGATGGAGAAAGAGGTAATTTCACAAACGGAGATAAGAATAATTTGTGTGAAAGTTCTCCGAAAGACTCATATATCTTGTCAGCTGAGCCAGTCGCAATGCCTATTTGGAGGTAAGAAAAAAATAACATCAACATCAACATGAACAGATAAATCGACATAATGTTGTGTGAAGTGTGTGGCTAATGAATTACTTGTTATTATGACAGGGGAAGTTTCGACATTCGGAACGAAAAACGTGTTATGCTGAGTGGGGTTTTGGGTCACGTGTCCATCTTAGCATGCCAAAAAGTTTATGACGAAGCTTTGCAGTTCGAGGCAGTGCTTCATCTTGAATTGCTCCCAAAATCCGATGTGTGGCCGAAAAGTTTTGTGACTTCGGAGCCTAGTGGGGATAATATCGCGCTTTATTTCTTTCCATCTAAAAAAAGGTGTGCTATTATATTTTTCTATCTTAAGATATACCACTCCTCTTGACTTGTCTCTTATTATATATTTTTCTAATCATGAAAAGTGAACAAGATTTTGATCGATTGGTTGATGAGATGATGCGAAAGGAACTCGCCCTGAAAGCCTGTGTGCAGAATGCCGAACTCTTAATTTTCAATTCCAGTGAATTGCCTCTACTATACTGGAGTAAGCACTCTGTCGAAGTATAATTTATTTTTCATCTAATTCGTACACGAGCGAAAAACTTAAAATGACTCGATAATCTCTGCAGAATTTCAGGGCAAGTATTATCTTTGGGGAGTATTCAGGCAAAAGCAAAGCACCGTTTCGAATTTCCATCCATGTCGTGAGGAGTTGAACGGGAAAAACCCGATAAAAGGTACTGACAAAATAGTGGGGTCCACAAAGGGCCCGAATGCCTTGAGCCCATGTAGCCCGTTAAGCAACTCGGCTAGCAATTGTTCGCACACTTAGTGAGGTGGAACGTTTGCAAGTTTTGGATCGGGTTTCGTAAGATTTTGGATGAACTCTGAATTGTTACACGGGATTAGCAGCGTAGGTAGAAGATGCTATGAAAATTGTACAATTATTATTATTATTATTATTATTTTTTTCGGGATCAGTTAGAAACTAACTACAGAAGACATGGCTGCCATGCTTGATATGGTAAAAGATGGATGCTTTGTATTCTTGCATGGACCCAATTTTAGAGTACAACGTTGGTGTTGGGGTCTTTGGAGGGTTGAATTGTTTGACTTTTTTTTTTTTTTTTTTTT